GCGTGTGCGTGCGTGCCCAAGATCCCGAGAGGAGAATGGAGGAGAAGGGATTGCGGCATGGCCATCCCCCCTGGGGAGTGATTTCTCGCTTTCTATCTCTATGTCTCTCTCTGTCTGTCTGGTGAGCGCACGCGCCCTATAGCGAAAACCTCTAAAAAAAAAAAAGAATGCTGACTACTTTTTAGCATTAAATGTGTTATATTATTTAATTTAATTTTGACTCCACTTTGGCTTTGGAGAGAAATCATTTCAAATAGATATTGGTACTTTTTTAACTTGATGCCTAATAATTCTAAAATGCATGTTTTCTACTATTAAGTTTTAATCAGTCAGGAAAGTTTTATGTAACCAGTGATAGCTTAATTTTTTGTATAGATTTTGTTTATGCTGCAATGTTTAGCTTTTGTTAACTTTTACTCTTGCCGTTTTAAGTTCATTACTGTGTTTAATGGCATATTTGCCAAGATATTTAGCATGTAAAAAGCAGGGTTTTGATTTTCTTTCTTTCTTTATTTTTTTTTAAAAAAACAGCTTCATATTGAAGCTGAGATTTATCATAAACAAGCTGAGTGGCAGACCTGGTATGCTGTGTCTTGCTACGGAAAGCTATTGCCAGAATCTTTAGTAAATATAAACTTTTAAAAGTTTTTGTTGTCTTTCTATATTAATAACAAATTATGACAAGTTAAATTTATTGAGGATTACATTATTGCTCTTCCTGTGTCATATTTTACTAGGATTTTGTGCCTCATACTTCCTGCTGAATTGTTTACTAGGAATGTTACAAAGAATTGATAAATCATTTTCATTTTACATTTTTATATAATCACATAACATGAAATATAATTTGATGTACAATTTCGCCTGTTACAAGAGGGTGTGATAGCTATAGTTGTACATGCACAGAACATTTTGGCATGACAAGAGGCTGAATAAATAGCTATTTTACTTTTAAAAAATTATTTATTTTATTTATCATTATTTTTAATTTGACCAGAGACAGACAGAAAGAGGGAGAGAGAAAGGAAAGCGAGAAAGCAATTCACTTTAGTTCAGGACTCGAACCACAGTCGACCATATGGGAGTCCAGTGCCTTAACCACCATGCCACCTGCCAGCTCCATTATTCCTGGAACTTCTAAGCACATTTCTGCCTCATAGGGTGCATACTTGCTGCAGAGAGAGAGAGACAGAGACAGTGAGAGGGAAAGTAAGAAATCACCCCCCCAGAGGGGATGGCCATGCTGCAATCCCTTCTCCTCCTGGGATTTTGGGCAGATATGCACATGTCCAGCATGAGTTTTAAGCTGCTGGGTCCAGGACCTGAACTGCGGAGTCCAGGTATGTAACCACTATGCCACCTGCTGGCCCTGGCATTTG